CCCAGCCTTCAGTCAGCCCTGGATCATGGATAAGCACATATCCAACATTCTCAGGAAGGTCTCTGGACTTGAATAGGGACCCTTCCCATGTGGGTTAGCTTCACAGAGTGTCATACTTCACTGCTACACCACCATCCTGATCCTATTTATTTCTTCCATATGTTGGGAGAACCCTCAACCAGGTGTTCCCTCTGTGATCCACCCCCTGCCAGCCCTGGATCATGTGTACCTGGCATATGCAGAAGGGCCTCAGGTTGTGAACCTGGAACCTTCCCATGTGGGTCCAGCCTCACAGAGCATTGCATTACTGATGCACCACCTCTGGCAACCCTAATGGTTAATTTAAATGAAAACGAATCTGTATTAATGATTGAGACTTTTTTTTTTTATTCCTTTGGGACAGTTAAATGAAGTTTTAATGGTGCAGTGTTATTTGGAAACTGCTGTTAATAAGAAAACAAAACCTAATAATAAAGTGGAACAAGGCTTCTGTCCCTATGTTGTCAGTGACTTTTAAAAAAAATATTTTCTTTTGGGACCAGCAGTTAGTGTAATGGCTATGTCACTGGACTCCCATGTAGTCGACCACAGTTTGAATCCTGGACCCAGCAGCTTAAACTCACACTGGGCGCGTGTGCATGCATGCCTGAGATCCTGAGAGGAGAATGGAGGAGAAGGGATTGTGCCGTGGCCATCCCCACTGGGGGTGATTTCTCACTTTCTGTCTCTCTGTCTCTCTCTGTCTTTCTGGTAAGTGCACATGCCCTGTAGCAAAAACCTCTCAAAAAAGTTATTTTCTTTTTTAATAATTATCCTTCCTTCCTTCCTTCCTTCCTTCCTTCCTTCCTTCCTTTTTTCCTTCCTTCCTTCCTTCCTTCCTTCTTTCTTTTTTTTTCTTTCTTTAATTTGACCAGAGAGGGACAAAGAGAGAGAGAGAAGGAGTGTGAGAAAGTAAGCTGCTAGGTCTGGGACTCGATCCACAGTTGGCCATGTGGGATTCCAGTGCCCTTAACCATCATGCTACCTGCCAACCCCTATTGGTGACTTTTTTGCAATCACTGCTTATGCTTTAAAGGCGTTGACTCCACTATCAGCATCCTATTTCTTTGAGAGATTTCACACCAAATAGTCATTTAGAGCAGGGATTTGCAAGCTGAAACAGCAGGCTAAATTCAGTCTGCCACCCGGTTTATCAGAAAACAGTCATGCCTGTTTATTTACATACTGTCTATGGCTGCTTTTCTTCTGTGGACATGGAGGTGGTTAGTTCTGATGAGACTGATACAAATCAAAAGTATTTACTATCTGGCCCTTTAAGGAAAAAGTTGTGTACCCCTGACCTAGAGTTAACACAAGGGCCTTATTTTTCCTGTAGGAAGAATCCTTGGCTATTGTTTTGGTGACCTTGTAATGCACTAGAGGTGATTGGGTGGCCCTTGAGCTCAGGCTGCTGCTTGCTCACAGATTAAGATTTCACCATTAGCGCACTCATGTTCCTATTTTGATCAATATCAATAATATTCTTACCCCATCAAATTTAGAAATCTATCATTGGTTGTCAGATCGATTTTGAGAGAAAAAAAATTATGATCTATTCCATTAGTTCATAAAAACATGGGCTAATTATTAGGGGAGCTGATTGTAAAGAATACCTTTTTATTTATGAATCTATGAATCTGTCTATGCAACTATCTGTTTTTGTTTTGTTTTTCTATTTTTCCAGTGCTCTTTATTCTTTTGTATGGGTCCAAATTCCTGGTCATCATCATCTTCCTGAAGAGCTTTTTTTTTTTTTTTTTTCATTTTTAGAAGTACAAATGTCTTTATTTCACTTTCATTTTTTAAAGGATATTTTGATTGGGTATAGAATTCTAGGTAGATAGACTTGCTTTTTTTTCTTTTCAGTACTTAGGAAAAAAATTTTTAAGTTTTATTTTTGCATGAGTGAGAGAGACAGAGAGAAGGAGAAAGAGAGAGAGCCTGCACCTCCAGCAGGATCTTGATGCTGTGCTCTACCTACCTCCAGACAGTCTCAGAGCACGGGCCCAGCATACTCAGGGAGGTCTCTGGATGCAAACCTTGAACCTTTGCACAAGGGTCAGCCTTGAAGAATATTCTGTTTGATCTTTGCACTGCTGTCTGACCTCTCCTTTCAATATTGTAGAGATGATGCTCCATTGTCTTCCAGCTTCCTTCCTTCTCCACTCCCACCCCTTGGTGAGAAATCTGCTGTCAGTCTTATTTTTGTTTCTTTCTATGTAACATATTCTTTTCTCTGGTTGTTTATTAAAATTTATTACTAAGGTTAAGCAATATGATTATAAGATGCTTTAGGTTAACTTTCTTCGTATTTTCTGTGCTTGGGGTTAATTGAACTTTCCACATATGGTTTTCGTCAACTTTGGAAAATTCATGGCCATTATTTCTTCAATTTTTTTTTTTTTTTTTTAGTTTCACTTTTACAGAAACTGGAATTACAATACCTTAGGGTACTTAAAGTTATCTCACAACTCATTGATACGCCGTTTATTTTTTAAAGTTTTAAGTTTTTCTGTGTATTTTATTTTGGATAATTTCTATTGTTATATCTTCAAGGTCATTAATCTTTTCTTCTAACATATCTAATCTACTTACTAGATTAATTTATAATGTTACTTTTCAAAAAATAAATATAGATGTATTAGAGAAAATCATGGCTTTAAATTTTGACTTTGTTATCTTAAAGACCTTCCCATAGAGACTCCCCCCCCAATAAAAGACCACTTTGCCTCTCCCCTAAACTGGGTTCTTCTTTGGGTTTTCATAGCTAAATAATTGGCACTGTAATACACTTCATCTCTTAATGAGAAGTCTTATCAGGACATCCTTGACTCCTCTTTTCCCTTGGCCCTTACATCCATCAGCAAATCCTTTTACTTGTACTTCCATAAAAGATCTCATGTCCATTCACTTTTCTTCATTTTTGCAAACATTCTACTACTTCTTGGCTCTTGCTTAGGTGACAGCAATAGCCTCCTTAGTGTTTTTCTGCTCTTTCTCTTGATAACAGCTACAATGATCTTAAAATAGCACTTGTTACTGCCCTTCTTAAAACCTTCCATTGGCTTCCAATTAATTGTATTTTGAACGAAACATAAACTTTTTTTTTTTTTTTTTTTGCTACCGGGCAAGTGCACTCACCAGAGAAAGACAGAACGTGAGGAACCATCCCCTGTGGGGGGAGTGACCATGCTGCAGTTCCTGTCCATTTTCTTCTTGGGATTTTGGGCATGCATGCGCATGTGCCTGGAGTGTCTTCCAAGCTGCCAGGTCTGGAACTTGAACTGGACAGTTGGCCATGTGTTATCCAGCCACCTTAACTCCCTGCCACTGGCTGGTCCAAACCTACACTCTTGGTCCTTGCCTACTTCTCGGTCATCATTCTGAGAAATTTGTTTTCCTCTCTCGCTCTGGGAGTAGGCTGGGGAGGGATTAGTTGGAGGGAAGAGGGAAAGCTACTTTTTCAAAAATTGACCACACCGCAGAAGAAGATATTGTATTCGCAGTCTAATACAAGGATGTATATATACTTCTTTTCATGAACTCTCCGGTATCTGAAGTCAGGGTGCATCTCATAAGCTTATAGATAAATAGACATGAATATGTCAGAGTTTACTTGATAGCACTTTTTCTTTCTTAATGTTGTATAAAATAGCAGTAAGTCTTATGACTGATAGGAACTGAAATGTGACAAAGTATGATATTTGAAACACGTTTTCTTCAAGTGCCCAGGGCACATTCCAATGTTTTCTAGTCTATCCTGTTTATTCTATTTCATTGGATAAAACAAACCAAAAACCTCCACTTGTCATGCTTACTACTGGGTCTCAGCATGAAATTTTAAAAACTCTGATGTAGCAACTCAGATCTTTTTTTGTTCATCAAACACACCAGACCCTTTCTTGCCTCAGGGTCTTTGCAAATGCTGTTCCCTCTACCTGCTCTTGTCCTTTGCATAGCTGACTGCTCAGCATCCTGTAGGTTTCAGTATATATATCACCTCTTCAGAGAAGCCCTCCTTGACTACCCCATCTAAGTGAGTTCCTATCTATCCTTCTTATTCTTTTTTTAAACTGGGTTTCTGTTTGTTTTCTTTACAGAATTTGTCCCAGTCCGTAGTCATACACATGTTCATTTCTTATCTTTATGGACTGACTTCCTTCTTATCTTCTCTCACCAGAATGAAGGTGTAGGCCCTGTCCACCTAGATCCATCCACAGCATCAGGCATAAAGTATAAACTCAAAGATCCTTGCCAAGTGAATGAATGCTGCAGTTTTGGAGCAGCCTTGCCTTAAAGAAAGACTATATAATATTTCGGGGTCCATGTAGAGTTTGGTGAATTTCAGCAGCTTTTGATTTAAAAAGAAAAATTCCCTACTTTGTCCTGGCTGTTGTCGTGTGTGTGTGTGTGTGTGTGTGTGTGTGTGTGTGTGTGTGTGTGTGTGTGTGTGTGTGTGTGTGTGTGTGTGTGTGTGTGTGTGTGTGTGTGTGTGTGTGTGTGTGTGTGTGTGTGTGTGTGTCTGTGTCTGTGTCTGTCTGTCTGTCTGTCTGTCTTAGGGAGTAGGCTGGGGAGGGATCGGTTGGAGGGAAGAGAGAAAGTAACTCCTTTTTTTTCCCCCCAGAATGGGATATGAAAGAGAATATCATCCTGTATTACTTTTCTCCTTCTCTCCCAATAGTTTCTAAGCATTAATGTGAATGTTAAAAATATTTGTACTGGATGTGCATGCATGGTCTACACAGTTCATTGTTATTAACACAGTGTTGTGCATCCCTGTGACTTATTTCTCATGTCGGGGGGTGACTTGATTAATTAGTTCTTTAGAACACAGTTGCCAAGGCAGCCGCAACAGGCTTCTTGGCTTTCCAGGCAAATCACTCTTCTCTGTAATTGACCCATAGCATGTAGAACTGTCTTCTACCCTATGAAAAATTTATAATCAACTTCTTACCTTTTAGGCACATAGAGATGAAATCCAGCGCAAATTTGATGCCCTTCGTAACAGCTGTACTGTGAGTATTCATTAACCAAAGACGATGAAAAATAAAGCAAAACTAAGACAAGGAAAAAGGGGACAGCTCTTTATGATAGCAGTGACTGATTTTTGATACGAACTTGCACTTGAAAGCAGATAATGCAGTCAAGCATATCTGGTATTTTTGAGCCCTCAATAACCTGTATTTGTGGAGTTCTGCCAGCTGAAAAGGCTCAAAACTATTTATGTTTGGGGGAGGATGGTAGTTGGAATAGTTAAAACAGTTCTCACTGTGCAGCCACTGACTAATAGGTTTCAAAAATTGCAACACCAAGCCCAAGGAAGCTTCTCCTCCTTCCCCAATGTGGAAGGTTCCCATTGGCCATAGACAGCCCAAGATTGGCCAGATATCGAGGGCAGTTCTACCTGCGAGGTGTCACCAGTCTGCAGAGGGAAAGGACCGATACGTTCTTTGGGAAATCTAGAGATTTTAACTTCCCTTCAGGAACATTCAAAATCTAGGACCCTATGGGTGATGGTGTTTATATTGACACAAGTCGGTTTTGTGACTAGAAAAGCATCAACCATAAGTTATATAACAGAATAGGGTTAATAGAAACACCAAGTTTATATTCGATCAGAACAAAGGACTGACGTTAGAGCCCTTCTGAAAGATAAGGATGTTAACCTTATTCATGATTCCATCTCTTTTCTTTGGTCTTTTCATTGCTTTATGACCTTCTCATTTAGTTCTCAGTGATTTTTGTCCTTGTTATTATTATTTGCATCTGTGAATTTTCAGAAACACCCTCCTCCGTGTGTGTGTGTGTGTGTGTGTATATATATATATACACACACATATATTGTAATGATCTATTTTCTCTTTAGCTACTGTAAAAGGGGACTTAAAAAGTTTTGCAGAAAATGGAATAAAAGTATGCGTTTATTTTGGTGCAAAACGTTTTTGAGGGGCCAGCAGATGGCATAATGGTTACGTAACTGGACTCCCATCTAGTCGATTGAGGTTCTAGTCCTGTACGTGGCAGCTTAAAACTCACACCAGGTATTTTTCCTTTAAGAAGTGGAATGAAAAAATAAATAAATAAATAAACTTACACTGGGCGCATGTGCTTGTATGCCTAAAACCTGAAAAGGAGAACAGAGGAGAAGAGATTGTGGTGTGGCCGTCTCCCTTGGGGGATGATTTCTCACTTCTGTCTCTCTCTGTCTCTCTGGCGAGCGCACTCACCCTATAACAAAAACTGTCTCTAAAAAAAAAGAAAAAAAAAAGAAAAATCTTTGAAAACCTTGCCTTTTTTAATAATACAAATTTTCCATGGATTTTTTTTTGAAGACCCTACTTACATGAGAATTAAGTTCTAACTATATATTTTCTTAACTTAAATGCAGATAATAAAGTACACTAACCTTAAGTGTACATCCAGTGAAATTTTTCCATGAATAGACAGCTCTGGACTCAGTGTAGATCCAAGAGGCAGATCGTATTTAGCCCAGAAGGCACATATTGTCCACTTTCATTAGCAACCTTTGTCCAAAGGGGCAACACCACTCACCTCTGATACCATCACTTAGTTTTGCCTTTTCTTAGATTTCATATAAATGGAATCAAAGAGGATGTACTCTTTTGGGCCGAGTTGTTTTTTCACTTAAATTGTCTGTGAGGTTCCTCCATGTTGTAGATGTGTCAATAACTTTCCCTTTTTCATTACTGTGTAACGTCCCCAATGTATGAATAGAACTGTACTTTGTTTATCTGTTTTCCTCGTCGATAGACATTTGGAATGACTTCCATTATGAATACAACGTTAGGAAACATTTCTTGTATAAATTATTAGGTGGCTGTAAGCACTTATTTCTGGTGAACATTGACTCAAAGGTAGAATTGCTGTCATGAGTTATGCTTCTGGCTATGGTCGGGACCTGGCAGACCTATTTTTGGTCTGTATTTCCTGGTACAATGGTTGGATCGAAATAGGCCTGCCTCATAAGATCTGTTGATTTCCTCTCTCTCTCCTGCCTTTCTTGAGAAATCGGCAGATTCTGTTCCTATACTCTCCTGCCCTAGTTTTTAAGTTTCCTGTTGTCTTGATTTCTTATTTTACACAAGTCATTTGCTTATATTATGTACATGCTCATGAATGATCACTGAGTAAAATATAGAACACTTGATGACTACGATTTTTTCTCTATTACTATTTTTTCCTTAAATAAACTTGGATATTTTAAAAATGTGTACGTCAGTAATCCTGTTTTATTCATCTGGAGTTCTCTTTTCTCCTTTTTCAGTCTTTTGGCATAAGACATTCTTGAAGCATTTTTTTATAGCTGTATTAAGGTATAATTGGTATATATTAACCCGATAAGTTTTAAAATGTGTTTGTACTTGAAAAGATAGCAAAATAGTCAAAGTAATGAATATATCTATCACTGTCAAAAGTTTCTGCCCACATTTTTATAATTTAAATTTCAGTTTTAATGGACTACTCCAAACTGTAGAAGAAATTTGGTTACTTTCTTATTTAGCTTTCATACTCTCCAAATTTGCTTGTTCTGTAACACTGATTTCTAATCCTTACTTTACTTACCTCTGGTGTTCTGTAGAAAAGGCTGTGGGGACCTTCCAACTGGGAGGTGGAACCCAAGAAAGTGACTCCTGCCGTTTTCAGCCTGGCTAGCTTAGAGGTCCAAGCCACGGCCTTTGGAGTCAGCAGACTGAGTTCAGATAAGCCTCTGTTTCTTTGTCTGTAAAATAGAGATGACGTTGTATATCCTTAATTCTAATCACCATTAATTGTACAGTGCATAATTAAATTAAAAAATGTGTTTTGCTATAGGGTGCATGTTGCTAGAGGTTGTTGGAGAAAGACAGAGAGAGAGAGGGAACATGAGAAAGTACTCCTCTTCCCACCTTGGGGGATGGCCATGCTGCAATCCTTTCTCCTCCATTTCCCCTTTCAGGATTTTGGGCATGCACTCACACATGCCTGGCATGTCCCTTAAGTCATAGAGTCCCAGACACAAACCATGCAGTTAGCCATGTGGGGTCTAGCCACATTAACCACTCATGGCACCAGCCGGCTCCATAATTAATTTAATAACTTCTCTTTGCTAGGGGAGGAGAGAGCTGTTTAGTATACATACTTTCAGATTTCAGCAATGATAAAACTTAGGAAACACTGAATCGTAGAATTTGGTAATAATACTTCTCTTACTAGGAGAATACCGTGAGATAGAGCCTGCAAAATGCTCACATAGGGTCTGTTCATAGTGATTGCTATTCAGTATTGGCCTTCGAGTTTATTTATTTATTTATTTGTATTGGGCTCTAATAGCTTTTGTTTGGAAAATGACTGTGCTACTTTAAGAAAACCACTGCTTTAACACCATTTGGCCACAATCATAGGTTTCAATTATGCTTTTTTTTTTTTTTTTTGAGAGTATTTTGCCTTTGGGTGCATGCGCTCACCAGAGAGAGGCAGACAGACACAGTGAGAGGGAAAGGGAGAAATCACCCCCTGGGCGGATGACCACACCACAATCCCTTCTCCTCCTGGGATCTTGGGTACACAAACACATGCACCCATTGTGAGTTTTAAGCCACTGGGTATATGACTCGAACCACGGTTGGCCATGTGGGAGTCCAGCAACGTAACCGCTACACCATCTGCTGGCTCCTCAATTATGTTTTTAAATTTCAAGGCCACTTTAAAGACACTTCAGAAGGGTGCGATGGATGTTCCTTTCTTGTCTGCGTTGTCCGAGATCATCTCCGCTAGGAAATGTCATCTTCGTTACTGGTGGGAACTCCAGCAATAGCTCAATTGATGGGAGCATCTAGTTTGCAGCTTTCAAAAAGCTCATGAACAGTAAGATTTTCCAGCTCAGACCATTTCTATATTTTGAAGAGGTTTAAAAAAAGGATTTGATTCAATCTGGCACCTAAAACCCTACCTAAGTCTGTTTTAGAGGGGAGTTGGTGGGTAAACATATGACACAGTTTTAATTATGAATCAATCTGTCAGCTATAAGATTAAAAATAAATAATATGCAAATATCTGCCTTCAGGAAAGAACTAGGCATTAAAATAGGAATTCAGTGCTGTGTCTTTTTAGCCTTATGTTCACCATCTGACTGGTTTCTTCACCACTTGCATGGCCATTGGACAATTACCTGATAACTTTTCCTCTCCTAGTCTCCCAGTTAGTTGTGAAAGGTTCACATCTACTTCTTAGAACCATGAGGTTTGCATGATAGTCTTGACAGCAAAAGATAACCCCAAACAGAGATCTTTTTTTTTTTTTTCTTGGACACTGAGAGTAGATTATTTTTTACATCCCCTGTTCTCTCTTAGAACTGCATCAAGATCTCTTATCTACAAAAGCAGCATATAAGAAAGCTTTGCCGGCCCCCGAATTATAAAGCTATCGCTCTCATTTTTTTTTACTGCCAAGATGGAGTTAGAGTTTCAGTTTCTTTTTGCTACCCTCTATCCTCAAGGCCAAAACACCCTCATAGTAAAGAGAGAATCTGCCCTCAGTGTGGAGAGAATATACCCATGGCCAGAAAGTAGACCTCGGAATTCTACTTGCACATGGCTTGGTGCAAAAATAAAAAGGTTTTTTTCTGAATGATTGCTATATTGTATTCTATTATTATGGGCTTCAAGGATCTATAAGGAAAGTTGAATTAATACCTTTCTCCCTGTATAGTGTAGCGGGTAGCAGCATAGATCTTTCAGTGCTGGGTTTGAATTCTTGATTTGTTATTTACTAACAGTGAGACCTTGGGTAAGTTAGCCTTCCTATTACCTCGGTTTCCTCATCTATAAAATGGGAATAACATTAATACCCACCTCGAAGGACAGTTGTGAAGACTGCCTAGTGTTTTACACTGATGCTATTTTTATCATGGAGAGCTTTAATTTGCTGCCTTTGTCTCAAACAAGTCTAATCTCTATAAACTCACTTATGTGTGTGTATTGGTGGTATCTAACACTTAACCACAACTCCAACCACTCAAAACAGAGTCACAAGCCAACCACGTTATGGCTCATGCAGAGAGAATATATAAAAAGTCTGAACGAGTTAAAAATGCTTTGAATCGTCATCCTTCTCTTCTCAAACGTGCAAAATAGAGTCAGTGGCCAAGTAACGAAGCAACAATCACAAATGAAATAGAAATCAGAGACACGAGATGCCTTGAAAGTCAGACGAAAACAGGGAAATAGAAGGGTCCTTCCTATTCCAGTGGGCCCATGTCAGTGGAAGTGGGAATATTAACCTCTTTGACTTTTTTCAAGGGCTTCGTCTGTAGCACTTTATAATAGAATTTTGGAAGAAAGAGAAGAGGCAGTAGAAATATGCTCATCATAAATTGTGTCTTTGTCTCATGAACTGAAGGAAGTGGATACCCAAAGGCTTAACCGTGTCTTTGAATGGCAAGGAAATTATGTTGGCATTGTGTATATTCTAATTTGAATGGATTTACTATGGTCCATTGTTCCCTAAGAGGCTTTAAAAAGGCAGCATCATCTTGGTCATTAATTTTTATTCCTTCTATTTCACATGACACATAGAGGTTGAATAGTATATCCGAAAATTCAGAAAAAATTTAAAAATAACAGGTGAGGCGTGAACACAGTATTTATATTTATTTCCATGAGACGGATGGAGAAACCAACCCTGCAAAGTTCAAGGTGGTTCATTTGGGGTTCCAGAATCCATCTAACAGCATATCTTCCAGGCCAGGGAATCTGTCTTACTGTTTTTCTTTGGGAAAGAGGTAGAGGATATATAATAGCTAAATGGAGACATTGAGGCCAATTGGTTGGCGTGGTGGTTAAGGGTTCTGGACTCCCACATGGCTGACTTTGGTTCAAGTTCTGGACCTGGTAGCTTGCTTTCTCACTTTCTCTCTCTCTCTCCCTCTCTGGTCAAATTAAAATCAATCAGTTAATCAATGTATGTTAAAAGATAAAATAACTATTTAAAAAATTAAATAAATGGAGACATTTATGGTCTAGGATGGAAAGTATCTTTCTTTTTTCCTTTATTGGTTTGCTATAGAGCATGAAGGCTTGTCAGAGGGAAAGTAAGAAAGCACCCCCCAGGGAGGGACGACCACACCATAGTCCCTTCTCTTCCACTCTGCTCTCAGGATTTGGGGCACATACACACATGCCTGGTGTGATTTTCAGGCCTCGGGGGTCTGGGACATGGATTGCATACTTGGCCACGTGGGATCCAGATGCCTTAACCTCCGCACCATCTGCCGGCCCTGAAGAGTATATCAAGGAATAGGTTTACTACATACAGGTAGGCCAGTAGTATTAGCTGGCATCGTTTATTTATTGTTTCTGAGTTTAGGAGATTTAACCATTAACAAAAAGGGTGATTCAGGGATCCTACTAGGAATGACAAATATGTAGGTTTCCTCTCCCTATATTTTGCCCCTGATAAAGAAGGTATTTTAGCTAGGAATCTGATCAGAAAACCTTTGTTTCCCTTCTTGTAGCTGACAGGGTGCCCCTAAATAGTATATTAGGAATTAATATGGCTTTTGATGTTAAAGAAAAAAAACCAAATGATTAGAACACTAGGCCAGTCCATTTAAAGTTTATCAGCTCAGTTAACAAAATGTACAGTTGTATTTTCTGAGCCATGTTGAATAAACATGCTTGATTGATGTTCTTTAATTCTATGTGCCTGGGAAGATTTTTAAAAAATTGATCAGCAGAGGGGGGTTAAAATAGGGAATTAGTCATGGAAACAATGGTAACATTTCATAAACTAAGTCTACCCTAGATTTGAAAATGGGAAACAATTAATAACCGTAGGCTTAGAGGCATTTCCTTTTAATTTTCTTCTTTTTTGTTACATAAAATTTAATTTACTGCCTGCGTGCCTCATTCCAACTATTATTAGAAATTTGCCTTTAAACTTCTAAAGTATTATATATAAAAGCTCTCTGCAAGCACTGATACCAAACCTCTGCAAAGAGAATCAGAATGCTAAGTGCACTGAAATTAAAGTCATTCTGCCATTGAACAGGGAAATAATTTAGCAAAACTAGATTAGATCTCTCCCAATAAAATGAGAATTTTATATACATGGCTTCCCACTTTCTGATAGCTAGCTATAGAGTAAAATCTATTAAAGTGATGCCATTGTACAGTATTGTATTTTTAGAATTATTCTGAGCTTACCTTAAGTTTTTTTTTCCCTTTGTTGCATAAAATTAAATTTATTGTCTGTGACATTAAAATAACTCTTAGTGTCCCTCACTGTCAGTCTTCTTTGATAAGGACTTTCTTTTGTCTTTTAAGACTATGGCCATTTCCAACTTTGAAGTCCTATAGGTGGCCATGGGCATTTTTAGCTTAATTAACTGATTACTTCTCTTTTCTCCATGTGCGTTTTCCATATTATTTCCATATTATTGTCTGTTAATTTGCTCTCATTCGAAGTTGCTCCTTTTATACAGCAGACTCTTTCTTTTTTAAACTTGTGATAGAGTGCATGCAGGCACACCCGAGTGTGAGTGGGGGGCACCCTACACCAGATCTAGTCACCTTCCTCCAGTCTTCTGGGCTGTCGGGTCTTGGGCACGTGCATGCACACTCTTTGTGTTTCGGGTTGACTGGGCCCAAGATTCGAATTGCAGTCAGCAAGTAGGATCTGGCTTCTCTTGAGCAGCACGTCACCCCTGCACGGAGCCGGCCCTGCAGTCACTTCTGATTGATTTGCTTTTGCTGTATTTTCCAAATGTTTCCCAAGTTAGAGAAACAGCTCCTTTTCTTACCACCATGCGTGTGCGTTAGAGCTCAGTGGGTAGGTGATGGCCTTTGGCTTTGGCTCTCAAAGTGGGAGAGCTGCATGTCCATTGCCAGGGTCTCGTGGTTTCCAGAATCAATAGCCCTAGAAGCAGTTGCCCACTTAAAATGAGCTTGGTTGGTGTGTAACCGGGTTCCTTCCCTCTCTTAGGTGATCACAGACTTGGAGGAGCAGTTAAATCAGCTGACCGAGGACAACGCTGAACTCAACAACCAGAACTTCTACTTGTCCAAACAACTCGATGAGGCTTCCGGCGCCAACGATGAGATAGTGCAGCTTCGAAGTGAAGTGGACCATCTTCGCCGCGAGATCACAGAGAGAGAGATGCAGCTCACCAGCCAGAAGCAGGTAAGGAGGGCAAAAAAGGTCATGAGACCCCTGGAGGACTTGAGGAAGGATGTTAGAAGGAAGCAGGCCCCGTGTGTTCTCCTGAGGGTGCTAAGGCTGAGCCTCATTCAGGAAATATTTGTTTTGTTTTGTTTTGTTTTTACAATCATGCAATTTCCAAGACTTTGGGGTTTTATTTATTTTTCACTTTTCCTTTCTTTTTATGGTAGAAAACATGTGCATGAGACAGAAAGAGAAAGAACCCACAGTAGGGTCCATCATTCCACATTCCCCTCCCCAGCCCTCCAGCTCCTCTGGATCTTGAGAGCCCTCATTGACTGGCATGTTTTTCAGGCTGACTCAGGATCTGAACTACAGTTGCCATATGGCTTCCAGCCCCGCAGGACATTTGTATTACCTTGTGCTGTAGCGGCTGCACTGCTTTGGAGGTCTTAAGAATGGTTTTAAGGGGGAAGACCAGCAGTTGGCATAATGGCTATGTCGCTGGACTCCCATGTAATAGACCATGGTTCAAGTCTCAGACCTGGTGGCTTAAAATCATGCCGGGCACGTGTGCATGCATGCCCAAGATCCCAAGAGGAGAATGGAGGAGAAGGGATCATGACATGGCCATCCCCCCTGGGGGGGTGATTTCTCACTTTCTGTCTCTGTCTCTCTCTGTCTTTCTGGTGAGTGCATGCACCCTGTAGCAAAAATTTCTCTCCAAAAAAAAAAAAAAAGAATGGTTTTTAGGGGGCCAGGTGGCGTGGTGGTTAAGGCACTGGACCACTGGACTCCCACATGGCTGACTGCAGTTCGAGTCTTGGACCTGGTAGCTTCACTTTCCCTCTCTCTTTGTATTTTTCTGGTCAAATTAAACAATAATAATAATAAATACAATTAAATAAAAACAATTCTTTTAAAAAGGGATTTTTTAAGGGCATGTAGTTATTAATTTTGATTTACAAAAATTCAAAATAAAATCTGGGAGCTGGCTCCATAGCCCAGTTGTTAAGCACTGTGTCAGGGGAGCCAGATCTCACCTGACTAACTGTGGTTCAAATCCCAGCCCCAGTGGCTCAAAAAATATTCTGGGCAGATCCTGAGTGGATGAAGGAGTGGAGGCAAAAGAATTATGGTATGACCAGGCCTTGTTAAAGGACGCTTTCACTCTCTCTCTCGCCCTCTTGCCCTTTTTCTCTGGCATGTACAAACGCCCTCTGGCATTAAAAAATAATAAAATAAAATCGAATGCTTGGGGAAGTTACCGTGAGCCAGTTGATTTGTAAGCTCAGTCACTCCCTTGTGGCCTTGCATTGAATTTTGCTGCTAAAATGTTCACAGAAATGGCCCTTCCTTCATTCTCATCCTGTTCTCTCGGGCGATAGACAAAGATCAACTGTATTTCACACCGTAGTTAGAAACTTATGCTTCTCTGAAACTGATCTGCCAAAAGTAACCTCCAGGAAATCCTCGTTTGATACAAGGCACAACTCAGTGGTACTGATTTGCAGACGATGGAGGCTCTGAAGACCACGTGCACGATGCTGGAGGAACAGGTCATGGACTTGGAGGCCCTGAATGACGAGCTTCTGGAAAAAGAGCGGCAGTGGGAAGCCTGGAGGAGCGTCCTCGGGGACGAGAAGTCCCAGTTTGAGTGTCGGGTTCGAGAATTACAAAGGATGCTGGACACTGAGAAACAGAGCAGGTGAGACTTTCTGTTTGACAAGTGACTGCAGCAGGGTCCTCCCGGGAGTTCTGAAAAGGGTGACAGCTGTCCCAGCTTGTCCAGGACTAAGAAATTCCCTGGGACAAAGACATTCAGTGCTGAAACCGAAAGACTGGGAAAACCAGGATGATTCAGTTATCCTAGTGGTAAATACACAGTGTCCATTGGATTCTGGCGTTTTTTGTGTGTGTGTGTGTGTGTGGTTTTGTTTGTTTGTTTGTTTTATTTTGTTTTGTTTTTTAAGAGAGGTTTTTGCAGGACCAGCAGTTAGCGTAATGGCTATGTCGCTGAACTCCCATGTAGTCGACTGTGGTTCAAGTCCTGGACCCGGTGGCTTAAACTCACGCCAGATGCATGTGCGTGCATGCCCAAAATCCCGAGAGGAGAATGGAGGAGAAGGGATTGTGGTATGGCCATCCCCCCTGAGGGGTGATTTCTCACTTTCTATTTCTTTGTTTCTCTGGTGAGCGCACGTGCCCTGTAGCAAAAACCTCTCAAAAAAAAAAAAAAAAAAAAAGAGAGAGGTTTTTGCTCTAGGGCGCATGTGCTTGTGGGAGAGACAGAGAAACAGAAAACCAGAAATCATCTCCCAGGGAATGGCCTCGCTGCAGTCCCTTCGCCTTGGAGGGATGGCCACACTGCAGTCCCTTCTCCTCCATTCTCCTCTCGGGATTTTGGGCATGCACGCACACACATCCAGCATGAGTTTTAAGCTGCCAGGTCTGAGACTCGAACTGTAGTTCTAGTCTACATGGGACTACATGGGAGTCCAGCAATGTAACCATTACACTATCTACTGGACCCAACAAAACCCTTGGATTCTGTGGTAGTAGCTGGTGTCCATTTATCCAGTACAGAGGCCTGTGAGTCTGGGCAATTATCTCGGCCCTTTCATTTGCAAAAACATTGGCATCAGGTTCCTTATCGCTGTGACCATATAGCAAGACCATCCCCGTTTGATCCTGGTCAAGTGGGATGTTCAATTTTCCCTTACGCTAGGGTTTCTCAGCCTTGGTCCTGCTGACATTTTTGAGTCGATTTATTCTTTGTCCTACGGGGCTGTCCTGTGCATTGTAGGATGTTGAGAATCATCCTTGGTCTCTACTCCCTAGACACCAACAGCAGCCCCTTCCCAAGTGTGACAATTAGAAGTGTTCCCGGACATTGCCAAAGGTCACCTGGGAGTAAAATCATCCCCTGTGAGAACCGCTGTTCTACAGGGTAGCTTCTTTTTTTGTTGTTGTTTTGTTTTTTCTTTTTCCTTAAGAAATGGTGATAAGAAGTTTAAGCAATGCCTTCCCTCTGCTTTCCCACTTATGTTTCCTTGGCTCCCGCAACACAGAATCCCCTTCCCGCTGGGTCATTGATAGTGCAGGTTCTTCTATATCACTGGAGGGGACGCCGTGCATGACAAAGATGTCCTAGATTTGAAGATTTATTGTGATAGTTTACAGCTCATGGCGTGGAAGTATTTGTTCTGGCAAAATTAGCATGTTATGACAGTTCACAGATGGAAAGAGATGGTCTTGACAAGCGAGAGCCTTTTTCCAGTTTGCACAGAGCTGCCGTGTGTGTGCGCTAGTGTTACCCCGTGACTTCATGTCTGCCCAGCTGAGTTGTGTCCACCCCTGGCTGACATTACCGTCCTCTCACAGTTACCTTCTTGTGATTCTCTGTACCTGTTAAGCCAGATACACTCTACATAGACATATTTATGACATTTCATTGGACTGTACCACACTCATTTGAGTATCTCCCACTTTTGTTTGTTTGTTTGTTTGTTTCTTTGCTATAGGGGACATGTGTTCACTGGAGAGACAGCCAGAGAGAGGGGGACAATTAGAAATCATCTGCTGGGGTTGCCGTCCCTTCTTCTCCATTCTCCTCTTGGGATTTCAGGCACACGTGCACACGCGCCCAGAGTGATTTTCAGGATTTGAACCACAGAGTCGGCCATGTGGAACTGAGCTATCTTAACCTCCATGCTACCTGCTGTATCTCCCACATTTACTCGGCTCTAGTAGACTCACGTAAAGATGTTGGATGAATAATCTCCACTGAGTTCAGTTGAGCTAGGAAAGATGAGCAGAAGATGAGAACCCTTACATTTCTAGAGACTCTTTTAGACATAGGTTCCATTTTGGACAGTCTCCTGCTCAGGGTATTTGCTGATGTGAGTGGCCGCTCTTTCAGGATTCTATTCCTGCTTCTCTCTGAACCTTCGGGCTCCCCCCATCCTCACTGAAAGATCTGGCAGCTCTCCCAGACCCCTTTCTTCCCACCTTCAAGTCCTGTTTCTATCCTAACTGCCTATAAGAGCCTTCAGAGATAATTTTAGGGGCAGGATGTGGCTTCAGCGTGAAAAAAAAAACAAAACACATGTGGAAGCTATGCTTATGGACTATGCTTAGGAAGACTACTAGCATTACTCTACTTTCATACCGCATCAAGTTACTATCTTTCTTAATCTTTGTCCTCAAGAGTCTAAGAGACTATCAGAGGAGACAAACTATGCATTTAAATATTTATCACCTAAAACGGAGCCATGGCATGCCAGGAGGGAAACACATTTATGCTCTCGATCCAGAACAGGAGAGGTTGCTTCTGAGGGGAGACACACTGGGAAAGGGATTTTGGAGGATGGGGCACGCGCATTTATCCGTGAAGGCTGAGTAAGATCTGGGTTTGTACAGGAGGAAAGGATAGACTTGAAGTGGAGGGACTTGTAGAAGCCAAAGTATGAAAATAGGAAAACCTAATACTTCACTGAAGGAAGGGAAGCCATTTTTCCAGTTTGTCTCTGGTTTCTCTATTCTTTAGCATTGCTTTAGTTTGCCAGTGAGCACCCCAAACATCTAACTCTTTGTATATGCATTCAGGAGAGGAAATGTTTGCTTAAATGAGGTCTCCCATGGCCTTCTGCCCCCTGTGACCCGTCATTGGGGCCTCACTCCATTTCTGTTCCCCCCAGAGATATGTGACATCCTGGTCAGCCCAGTTGCATTTGGACATGCATTTTTTTCCTTTAACCTTTCCAAGTGACTCCTCAAAGTAACTTTTTAAAAAAGAATTATTTAATTTTATTTATTATAATTATTATTTTTGGTTTTCTATAGGGCACATGCACTCACCATGGAGAGACAGAGAAAGGCGGAAAGTCAGAAAGGAAGCTGCCAGGTCTGGGACTCGAACCACAGTCGGCCATGTGGGAGTCTGACTCCTCAATCATTATGCTACCTGCTAGCCCCTCACAGGAAACTTTTTAAAAAAAGTTATCAATTTACTACTTCTGTGTGTGTGTGTGTGTGTGTGTGTGTGTGTGTGTGTATGTGTGTGCGTGCGTGTGAGAGAGAGATAGAGAGAGAGAGAGATCGAGATCGAGATCACCCCCAACAAGGCCTTGGTTCCATGATCCAACCACAGCCTCAGCCAGTCCAGGCTCACGGACGTGTGGGTGTCTGGTATACTCAGGGAGGTTTGGAGACACGGAGCTGGGGTCAGCCTCACAGAGCATTAGGTTTTACCACTGGGCCACTATCTGACCCCAGGATTTACCCTTTCAGGGTATTGCTCCCCAAGGCCTAATATATGTAGGTAACATCTTTGCTCAGAGAGCTGCTGGGAAGGAAAATGTAATTTGGAACTAGGAGTCAGGGTTGGGCATTGATCTGACCCATGGTCTGTCTAGTTGCTTATCAGGATTGGAGCTGGACCAGCCTCCTCCTCCTCCCAGGTTGGCAACGATTCAGCTTCTGAAAGCAGGCCTGTATTTTTCTGCAGGGCAAGAGCCGATCAGCGGATCACTGAGTCTCGCCAGGTGGTGGAGCTGGCAGTGAAGGAGCACAAGGCCGAGATTCTCGCTCTACAGCAGGCTCTCAAAGAACAGAAGCTGAAAGCCGAGAGCCTCTCCGACAAGGTCAGCAGCCATCCCTTCTGCCTTTTAGGAAAACATGTTCATTTCTTTCTTGTAAAGGCAGGCTTGACACACATTCATGTGCAATCTGTGGTAACCATATTTCATTGACATACATTTGCTTACTCCAAATATGTCACACAGTTATGCTTCACCGTGGGACATCCTTGGTGGGCATAATGTGGGTGGGCGTGGGGGGTACTGGGTTATCACCATCAGGTCAGTAACTTTTTAATGTCTACTTGTGTGGGCCTTTGTGGTCTGAGTTTTGGTCTAGGTGTACAGCTTTCTTTTTTTCGGGCATTTTATTTTTAGAAGGCTCTAGGAATCTAATATCGAGAGTCCTTCGGAAGTGCTTGGTGGCAGTGGCTGACACGCATGCCATTGCTGTGTTAACAGACAGCTCTGCCTCTCTGTGATCCAAGTTGAGGGACCTGATGCGAGTCCTCAGTAGTCACATTGGACATACACGTGTTTTGCCTACGTACCACCCCATGTTATATGTACAAAGCGCTATACCTTTGCCTTGGAGATTGTATCTAATAGTCTTGAAAGAGATATAGAGTAGTTGCTTCAATGTTATAGACAACAAAAATCAAGATCAAGGGCCAGCCGATGTCATGGTGGTTAAAGCGGCTTGATTCCACGTGGCCAGTCGTGTAGTTCAAGTCCTGGACTTAGCAGCTTGACAAAAACTCTGGGCCTGTGTGCACGTGTGCCCAAAATCCTGAAAGGAGAAGTGGAGGAGAGGGGACTTCAGTGTGACTGTCTTCTATGGGGAGTGCTTTCTCACTTTCCTTCCCTCCCTCTCTCCTTCCTCCCTCTATTTCTCTTTTTTCCATAAGCACATGCACCCTCTGACAAATGAAAAAAGCAAAAATGTGAAGATCAGAGAAATTTTTTTTGGAGGGGGAGAGATTTTCACTATAGGGTGCGTGCACTCGCCAGACAGACAGAGAGAGACATAGAGACAGAAAGTGAGAAATCACCCCCCAGGGGGGATGGTCGCGCCACAATCCCTTCTCCTCCATTCTCCTCTCGGGATCTTGGGCATGCACACACATGTGCCTGGCGTGAGTTTTAAGCCACTGGGTCCGGGACGCAAACCGTGGTTGACTACGTGGGAGTCCAGCGACATAGCCATTACGCTAACTGCTGGTTCCCGAAGATCAGAGAAATTTTTGTACCCACACACAAACTCACTCATACATTCTTTTACACATACATAGGCATACAATTAATTTAACAACCCGATTTTGTATTTTCTATAACTTTTTTACTTCGTGATTATGAAAATAATTATCTGGGGTCATTGTGGACAATAGAAACCATAGAAAAGGCTGTCTCGTAGCCTAGCATGCTCGTTCCTCTGCAGCTGGGCCTGTTACTGAATTATTTTGGAAGATGTAATTCTAAAAAAAACCACAATTTCACGGAGGTACCTTATTTCATCATTCCATTGTATTTGGATTTGGGCTTCTTCCAAATTTTTGCAATATAAATAACTTTGTGACAAACATAAATCTGTATAAACATCCCTGATTTTTTTTTTTTAAACCAGAAATTCATAGGAACAGAATTAGATTCAAGGTCGGCACTTTCCACTCAGGAATACTTCTGAGTCCCCTGATATTGGCTTATCTTATTTTTTAAAACATGAAGAAAGTAAATTTATTACTTAGAGATAAGAAACCCTTTTATGTTGAATTTGAAGTTTTTTCTAGTTGACTTCTTAAAGTACTCAGTACTGGGGCCAGCAAGTGGCATGGTGGTTAAAGTGTTGGACTCCCACATGGCCCACCTTGGTTCAAGTCCTAGACCTAGAGGCTTGCTTTCTCACTTTTCCATTCTCTCTCTCTCTCTCTCTCTCTCTCTGGTCAAATTAAAAAGTAATAATAGGAGCCAGCAGATGGTGTAATGATTACATCACCGGACTCCCATGTAGTCAGCCGTGGTTCAAGTCCCAGATCCGGTGGCTTAAAACTCACTCCAGGTGTATATGTGTTCATGCCCAAAGTCCTGAGAGAAGAATGGAGAAACAGTAGCAAAGTCCTACCTGTTCTTTAAAGCCCCAGATATTCCAATACCATCTTTTCTCGATCTTTCTACATGGGGGTAGATGTCTCTTTTCATACTTTCTTGTCACCATTTGACAATGCAGTCATTGTTTGCACACATGTCTAGCTGTGGGCCATCCTGCGCCTTTCTGACCTGATGTAAGATCCTTGAGACAGCTTGGCTGTCAGTTCATCCTGAAAGCCGCAGTGCCATGCAAGCAGTAAGCATTCAGCATATGATTGTTTAATGAAATCCAGCTAAAACATGTCACAGAAGTAAATACTCGAGCAGTCAAACTCTCAGAGCGTGTCACAGCTAGCTATTGATATATGATCCGTCCCGTAGAAATAATTCCTATCCTTGCATAATAATGATAGAAGACTTACCTATGATATGTACTTTTTATTTTTAAATTTTATTTTATTTTCATTTTTGCTGTATGGCACATGTGCTTACGAGAGAGAGAGAAACAGAAAAAGAAAGAGAGATGGCCGTGATTACATCCCTTCTTCTCCATTCGCCTCTTGAGATTTTAGGGACGTACATGTACCTTGTATATGATTTTCACACACCCGGGTCTAGGGCTTTAACTGCAGCCTGCGCAGGTGGCCATGTGGGATCTAGTGCCTTAACTTTCATGCCACCCCTGTATTTTTTCTTCTTTTTTTAAAAGAATTATTTATTTTTATTTACTTTAATTTGACCAGAGAGAGACACAAAGAAAGAGAGAGAGGGAAAGTAAGAAAGCAAGCTACTAGGTCCAGGACTCGAACCGTGGTCAGCTGTGTGGGAGTATCCAGAGCCTTAACCACCATGTCATTGACTGATACCCTGTACTTTTGTTTTTAAAAGACATAATTTTTGTTCTGACCTTTAGAACTCGATTTGTGGGCATTCATCAAAGTCATTAGCATCGGGACCAGCAGTTAGCGTAATGGCTATGTCACTGGACTCCCATGTAGTCCACCACGATTCACGTCCCAGACCCAGTGGCTTAAACTCACGCCGGGCATGTGTGTGTGCATGCCCAAGATCCCAAGAGGAGAATGGAGAAGAGGGGATTGCGGCATGGCCATCCCCCCTGGGGGGTGATTTCTCGCTTTCTGTCTCTCTGTCTCTCTCTGTCTGTCTGCCGAGCGCACGCGCCCTATAGCAAAAACCTCTCTTTAAAAAAAAGAAAAAAGTCATTAGCATCTAACATCCCTAATTGTGGCACTGCCAATTTTTCCAATGTCCAGCTCAATGACCTGGAGAAGAAGCATGCCATGCTCGAAATGAATGCCCGAAGCTTACAGCAGAAACTGGAGACTGAACGAGAACTCAAACAGAGGCTTCTGGAAGAGGTGAGCAAGCATACAACACCTGGAAAACAGAGGCTGGTGGAATTCTGAAAGAGAAAGTTCATGATGTTCTGATGATCAGATCCAAGTTAGACATTGAAATTTTGAAGTTAGAAGGACTTTAAGATACTTAACATATTAAGAAACTAGTCATGAAGGATGGAGGGTCTCTGTCATTTGTCTCCCTTACATAATGCATTGTAGACTGTCCAGCGCCTAGTGAGTATGTGCCAAACAGGTTTATTAAATACACCAATGAATGACTGTTGAGTTAAATTGTTCTTTACACTTAATATGCAAAGTGTATTAAGTTTCATGCTGATAGGATAACCATGCAAATTAGCTTCCTGCATGGGGCCGAGATTTGATCAGATTATGCCAAGTACCAAATTTCATGAAGTCTTTTGAAACATTCAGTTAATTCCATTAAAAAAGAAGAATCATGCCCTGATTTTGCGACATAAGGTGATAGGCTCAAGTTGATCTCCTGAAAACATTTCTTATGTTGTTTCCTACACCTTTTCACAGAACTCTGATAATTGCTATTTAAACTGATAACTACTCTCCACTCCCACCCAAAGCCCACATGTTGAATGACTAATGACAAAGTGTTGTTCATTAAAATCAACCTACAAGGTCATACGTATTTTGTAAAGATTTTTCATGCAAAACTGGACTACAGAGAATGCTCTGTTTAACCCAGAGCGAGCTGGACAGTTCAAGTAAGCCAGAAAGCCTTGTTGAGATTTCGTCATAGGATACCCATAGCTGCTGAGGCACCCTGCCTATAGAGATAATACTGCTAGGCAGTTACGTTTGCCAAGTATAGTGGACATGGCGCAGGTGAGTATGAAATGGGTGGGAGTCTGGGAAAGTTCTAGAGAAAGATTACTGGTAGTTGCACAACAATGTGGATATACTTAATGCCATTGGACTGTACACTTGAAGCGATTGAAGTGGTCAGTTTTATGTTATGTATTATGTTTATTTTGCCACGTTAAAAAAATAATAAAGGACACACACACACACACACACACACACACAAAGTTCACCAATGGTAAATTAAGACTATCTGATAAAAACTTTAAATCTACTTAGATTTAAAAACGTTAATCACATAGAGAATTACGATGGTCCCTCATCTGTTTTGGTTAGGCACTGTCCCTACTTAGACACATGCTGGAAACAGGAAGAACAGAAATAATCAATGCTCTTGCCTGTCCTAGTTTCTCTCCGAGGAGGGCAAATTGGCCCTGACAGCTCAATGCTTTTGGTCCAAGGTTACATGGTGACTCAGTGGCGAGGCTCGGAATAGAATGCTCCCGATTCAGTCCTCTCGTTCTCACTTCTAACCTACATGAGAACATTTCCAGTTCCCCAGCCTGTACCTCGCAGCGTGCTGTTTGAGTGCAGACATCTGGCTGACATGGAGTTTGAGGCAGATTCCACCGACAGTGGAAGCCACTAGGAAATAAAGAAGGATCTTTATGTCCTGCCTGTGGCTGGGATCTTTGTGGCCTGTGCTTTTTAAGTGTGTGCCCAAGGGCTCAAACTAAGTGCCCTCCCCATAGAGAGACTTTGAAAAGCAGCCAGAATCAGAATCCCAGAATTGGAAGGAACCTTTAGGTTATCCACCCCAAATTCCCAGCACTATTTCTTTTATCCTATCCCCTGACAAACTTTACTAATGGATTTTTCTTTCAAATCTTTTCTCCTGGGCCCATAATGGCCTCAGACACTTTGCTATCAGTCCGTCGGAAGTTAACACCAGAGATGAAAGTCTGTTTGTTATTCTTGGTCAAATTCATCTCCTCCTCAAGGTAGAGAATCCCTCACCCACACTCCTCACAGGAGAGCCTCAGTGAACCTCACCCTCAACCTTTAGCAGTGCCTCTGACATCCCAACCCATATTTCAGCAACTCTTAGAAAGTCTTCTTATTTTGAACTAAAACCTACAACTCCTTCCCACGGGAAGCATGAAATTAGAGTAGTCTGCTCTCTCCAACCAAAGTTGGAGATTATTATTGGTTAATAATGAGATTACTTGATTAATAAAATAATGAATATTTAATTAGCACTTACCATATGTCAGGTGCCTTTTTGAGTTCTTTACATCAATTAACCCATTTACTGTCCTTGCAACAATCCATTGAGAACACTACTTTCATTATTTCCATGACAGTATATTAGATACCCAAGTAGCTCTCCTCCTCCCAATTGCCTTCTCTCTTCTAAGGGAAACATTTCAAATCTCTCTAAGCTTTGGATGTTCTTTTCTGGTAGATTTGTCTTTCCAAAGAAAGTTTCTAGAAGCTCATATGATCGGAATAACACGGAATACACTGGGATATTTCTACCTCTGTATTGGAGTCTGTGGACCTTTGCCAGTTACCTGGGCTCTGTGGGTATTTGTATCTTACTACTGATACCCACTAACCTACTGAGTCACCACTTACTCGCCTACAAATAGTCTTTAAGATTTACAGAAAAAAAAAAAAAGTAACACCTATGTGTTCCTATTTAACTTTGTCTTGTTGATCCTGGTTCATTCAAAATCCAGCTCCACAGAGGTTTTACACTCTGGTTCTGTTATCCAGTTCCTTCATTCTTCCTCCCAGTTTTCTTGCACTCTTAGAGTTGGTCATGTCTAAGCCCATGGCCAAGCATCCCTTTCAGTCTAACACTGAGCCATGAACATGCCTCTGTTTGCCTCTCTCTGAGAAAGTGATAAACGGTCTTGAAAAATAATTCATAGAGCACAGCTGTCACTCTTCCATGTTTTTAATTGGAATTAACCAGCCTGTTTCTTGGAAAGCCAATGGGACAGTTGATGTCTGTATTGAGAAAAATATTTTGGGCCTGGCTGTCACCAAACAGATTCTCATCCCCAGCATTTGCTTCTCTGGTTCCTGCCTAATAATTAACGTTATCCTAAAATAGTGGGGAGGAACTAAAGAGGGTAATTTATGGAAGAAAGCGCCTGTGTTGCTGGGCACCGATAGCTCCCTTTTAAAAAGTATCTTAGCTGTTTTCTTTCTTTCCTTTTTTCCCTTTTATTTTAGGATGTTTTGTGGTTTGATTTGAAGATTCCAGGTTTATGCCATAGGGTATAGTATTAGTATTAGTGTGTCTTGCTGTGTGGCAGGGCTGGTACGAGAAAAGCCCATGGGATAGTGAGGGAGAGCACCTGAACTGGATGGAGAAAAGAGAGAAGGACAGGAGAGATGGAGAGGACTCATAATCATTAAGCACCTACTGTATCCTGGGCACCTTGCTCAGTATGTCCTCGGCAAGGCAAGGTAGTATACCCACTGTCAGATCAAGAACCCGAGGCTCTGAGAAACATTATTAGCTGCCCACTGATAAGTGTTAAAGGATTTAAACCAGGGTCTTTAAGAATTGGAATTAGAAATAGAAAGAAAAACATAGATGGAGAGAAGCCAAGTAAACAGAGAAGGTCTGGGAATTTGGAGGTTAACTGTGGCTCTTGGCCAACTGGGGTTGGGGTTTGGGATCTGCTATTGACCCCTTTGAAAACTCCTGTGCTGATGTTCATTGTTCTTCTGCAGCTCTCGGTTCTAAGTCTGCAGAGGGTCTAGCCTCCCGGGGAAGAGATTATTCGGCCCTCAGCATGTGTGGTTAGATTCTAACCCGGGGGTTGAATGAAACCAAGCAGCATCACAGCGGGATGACTGTTCTCTCTTGCTTTTTAGAAACAGAAGCATTTAGGAAAGAGAGCCATAAAACCACTGTCTTCATAACCTGCCCTATTTTCTGGTTGTCAAAATTGCAGAGAGATTTTCAGCACTATTTCCAATGTACTAAGTTGATTGTTTTTTGTTTTGTTTTTCCCATGGGTTTTCACCAGCTTTCATATTGTATCTGGGATCTTCCTCGTCCTTTCTCCCCACACTATAAATATAACTGCTGTAATGGTAGATATTCATGCACCTGTTGGAGTCCCTCGTCCTGATGAGGCACTCATTAAATTGGGGGAATATAATTCTTTGTATTCTCCACACCGCCTGCACAGAATGATTCTCCTAACAACTGAGATCTTAAAAGATAGGGACACAGGGGAACTTGGTTGTCATGGTACTGAGTGATACTTCCTCGGATGTCAACTCAGCTAGCTCATCCTCTTTAGTACCAAAATATCCACAGTTGTAGCTCTACTGGGAAGGCAGATCTTGCAGCCTGGACATCCTGTTTCAGCAAGGATCCTGTGACTTGCTGGCCTTCAGAGAGACCTATGCAAATTTCATTTTGACTATGCCTGTGTCATTTTGGAATAGGTGTCATTCGAGAATTTCTGGGGTGAGCTGGTTTCAAAAGCTGGACTTTTGGTGCCGTGCCTGGAACTAGTTTGTGAATGGCAACAGTGCAGAGCGAGTTGTATGATATGTGGCTGTCAAGCCTTTCTCTGGTCCTTCTCCCCACTAGCAAGCCAAGTTGCAGCAGCAGATGGACCTGCAGAAGAATCACATTTTCCGCCTGACTCAAGGGCTGCAAGAAGCTCTGGATCGGGCTGATCTACTGAAGACGGAAAGAAGCGATCTGGAATATCAGTTAGAAAACATTCAGGTGAGGACAGCAAAGGGAAGCTGCTTTAAAGTGGTCTCCAGAGCTCAAGTACAGTGGTGGAAAGGCATCTGGTGAAATGGTCAGGATCTTTACATCATATACTACTCTATGCTACTTCCTCTTATATATTTTTTTGAGAGTTTTTTGCTGTAAGGCGCGTGCACTCGCCAGAGAGACAGAAAGCGAGAAATCACCCCCCAGGAGGGATGACCACACTGCAATCCCCTCTCCATTCTCCTCTCGGGATCTTGGGCACACATGCACACGCGCCTGGCATGAGTTTAAGCCACCGGGTCTAGGACTTGAACCGCAGTCGACTGTATGGGAGTCCTGTAACATAGCCATTATGCCAACCGCTGGTCCCCCTCCAATATTTTATAATGAAAATTTTCAAATATTCAGAGAGGTTGGAAGATTTCTATGCTGACCACCACCACCCAAATTCTACAATTAAGCATTTGGTGTTTTTACTGTTACATCAATCTACCCAACTGTCAATCCAGTTCTTTTTCCTTTGCGATAAAATTGGAACTAAATAAATAGCAGCTTGGTGCTGTTTGTATTGACTTTCTAGATGCTGGTATCCTAATGACATTACTTTTTAATTTTCTTAAATACCAAATTTAAAAGCATACTTCTGTCTGGGTCTGAGGTTATTTTGTTTTCATGAATTTTAGGTCCTCTATTCTCATGAAAAGGTGAAAATGGAAGGCACTATTTCTCAACAAACCAAACTCATTGATTTTCTGCAAGCCAAAATGGACCAACCCGCTAAAAAGAAAAAGGTGGGTCAAAGTGTTTGAAAAGTAGTCGTTGACAGTTTCACTCTATCATTGACAATTCAGTGCACACCACTGACATGTAATCAGGGGAAGGTAGAAGAAGACAAAATGCACATTTTCTGGCTATTTAATAAAGCCAGAAAAATAGGCTTTGAGATCATTAGCATAGCCCTTATCAGAGACTACCATTGATCCAGCCTAACTAATTACTTTACATCCATGGCCATCAAAATTGTAGTGCTTTTCCTTGTTAAGGAAGAGGTGTTTTGCTCCCCCCACCCTTTCTGCATAGTAGCTGGGGCAGGGGTGGTATCAGAGAGAAAGGTTTATAGGACTCCAAAAGGGTTCAGAGTTCATGTGTATAGGATTCTCACGGGATTAGTAGGTCATATGCATGGGACTCTTGAGGGATTAGCAGGTCACATGAATGGAACTCCAGAGGGATTAGCAGGTCACATGATGGAGTTCAGAGGGATTAGCAGGTCCTATGTATGGGACTCTAGAGGCCACTTGTATGGGGGCTTCAGGAAGGGCTTAAGAAATGATCTAGTCCAGTCCTTTTGGTTGGCTAATGAAGACTCTGGAACCCAGAGAGTTGGAGTGACCTGTCTTAAAGTGCCTGACTGATATCCAGCACGTACTGCACGCTTCCTTTTAAATTGTAGCAGACCAGCACCCTAAGTCCTAAACTATGGAGAGTTATATGCAGGTGTGCAAGGGACCCTTTATTTTAATTAGCCCAGCACATCCTTTTCCACTGCAAACCACTAAAGCCACAGATGAATGAATTTCAAAAAGTTTACGGAAGAATGGACTCAAAGTACGAGTTTATTTTGGTGCAGAAATTCTGAAGTCTGTGCGTTGTGCTTTTGTGATAAGTATCTTCCATGAATTCTTTGACGACCCCCTTATACCAGGCTTAGCCAAGTGTTTTCATGTCCCAAAAGGTCTCTAAGGAGCTTGAAATTGCCTTCCAAAGACCTTGGTGCACCACAGTGACAGTGGCAGTGGTTCTATGGGGAAGATTCGATGGCCTGGAGTTCTAGGAGGAAGGCATGACAGATGAGGTCGAAATTAGGTCTCCATGTTGCTGAGGCCATCTTTACCATAAAGGGGATGAGAGCTACATTCACAGGCTGCCTCCTAGCAAACAGTGCCTGCCTGGAAAGCTGTTCTTGCATACCATGAGACTGTTTATGCTTTTGTGCTTATGACATTTAATCTCTTTTATTTTAGCAGCGGACTGTTATCTGGTTATGTCTTTTGATGTAGTTAGGGTGTCTCCATTTATTTTGCTATTGTTAATATTTTTTCAGTTGCATCCGTCTGTGTTTTTCTTTTTTCTTTCACATACAGCAAATGTTTCCATTTGCATTTTTCAGCAACCCCCTTGTTTTGACATCATTTTATGATTCGTTTTTCAATTCCGCTTCCTTTTTGAAAGCACTCATCTCTGTGTCTTGTAACTAACCGTCATGAGACAAATTCAAAGGCCAGCGTGACCTCTGAACCATCTCTTCTGACTCCATGATCCATCCTCTCCTGATTCCATTTTTTGAGGGGGAAAGACTCAGGAAATGACTCACCTGTCTTGGGAATGCTAAAGGAAGAGGTGGTGGCAATCCAAGCATCTTTAACCCTCTTGGCGAACACGTCCGCACCCCTATTTTTTTCAGCCGGCTGGAACGGGCTATGGCTCAGCCTACCCTTTTCCCCCTTCACATGCCATTTTTACTAAATACACTTACAGTGAGTATGCTCCTGGCTTTCGTGGTATGCTCCTCCCGAGTCAGATTTCCTTTAGCTAGTTTGCAGTGCCAGTTTCCAGGAGTTAGGAGATATCTCTGTTTCCATTGCTAGGGTTTATTTAGTCGACGGAAAGAGGACCCTGCTTTGCCCACACAGGTTCCTCTGCAGTACAATGAGCTGAAGCTGGCCCTGGAGAAGGAGAAAGCTCGCTGTGCAGAACTAGAGGAAGCCCTTCAGAAGACCCGCATCGAGCTCCGCTCCGCCCGAGAGGAAGGTAGGGGCTCCCTCTACAAAGCACTCGAGTCTTTGGACAAGGCAGAGGATAGATCTCAGTGAGATCAGCCAGGACTGACTCAGCATCTTCGCTTATGGCCCTATAGGCTTTCAGTCCAGACCCCCAAGTCAGCATGACATGTGTCCTTTTAGTCTCTGGGCCTTAAAAGACAGCCCAGGGGCAATCCTCTTGGCTTGGTCCTCTTGGCAACCCAACCAACCAGAAGGTGTACTGGTCTCTCTGCAGCTGCCCACCGAAAAGCCACGGACCACCCGCACCCGTCTACGCCAGCTACCGCGAGGCAGCAGATTGCCATGTCCGCCATTGTGCGGTCACCGGAGCACCAGCCCAGTGCCATGAGCCTGCTTGCCCCGCCATCCACCCGCCGAAAGGAGTCTTCAACTCCAGAAGGTACCTTCTCAAGGGGCTGCTAGAGTTGAATGGAGTGTTTTTTTTTTTTTTGCTATAGCACACATGCACTCGCCAGAAAGACAGAGAGACAGAAAGCAAAAAATCACTCCCCCCAGGGGGAATAGCCACGCCGCAATCCCTTCTCCTCCATTCTCCTCTCAGGATCTTGGGCACGCATGCACACGCACCCGGTGTGAGTTTAAGCCGCCCGGTCCAGACTCAAACCGCAGTCAACTACGTGGGAGTCCAGCGACATAGCCATTACGCTAACTACTGGTCCCTGAATGGAAGTTTTTTTTTAATTGACTGAGGAATACAGGTTTATGAGTGATCGTAAGGGATAAAGAGTAGAAATAAGCCTTCCCCCACCCCCATCTCCAGATCCTTTATTCAGAATCAACCATTGGTTTTAATCATGGTATTCTTCCAGCAGTGGTTCATGCACGTAACTGCATGTCTCTACTATTCATGTATCTTAAATGATTATATTTCCAGAATATGAGAAAACAAGCAGATTTTTCTCAATTTTTTTAAGTATCATAACACACTACACTACACACTACATATACACACTGTTATTGTAGAATGTTTCATATTAGAGACCAGCAGATAGCGTAATGGCTACATTGCTGGACTCCCATGTAGTCAACTGTGGTTTGAGTCCCAGACTTGGTGGCTTAAACTCAATCCCGGCACATGTGTGTGTGTGCTGAAGATCCCAAGAGGAGAATGGAGGAGAAGGGATTGCAGCGTAACCATCCCCCTCCAGGGGGTGATGTATCGTTTGTGTCTCTCTCTCTGTCTTTTTGTCAAGTGCATGTTTCCTATAGAAAAAAAAAAAAGAAGAAGAAAAATGTTTCATATTAGTGCTATGGACCTATCTCATTTTTTAAGGGTTTATTTATTTCTTACATTAGAGAGAGAGAGAGAGGGACCCCCTTCCCCCAACAGGGTCTTCATGTCTCACTGTATACCCCAAGTTTCAGCCACCCCAGACGCTGAGCACATGGAGGCATATCTGGTATATGTAGGGAGACCTTGGGACTCAAACCTGAGACCTCCCTGTGTGGCCTTAACATCTCAGAGTATTGTCTTACTGCTGCACCTACATGGCTGGCCATACCTCATTTTTTCAAAAGGACTATACAGGATCCAGCATGTGGCATGGTGGTTAAGGTGCTGGGCTCCCACATAGCCGATCATGGTTCAAGTCTCAAGTCTCAGACCTGGTGACTCGCTTTTTTACTTTCTCTCTTTCTTTCTTTCTCATCAAATTTAGAAATAAATAAAATTAATTAAATAATTCTTTTTTTAAAAAAAAGACTACACCTTATCCCATGGTGTGGGTATACAATTCTTATATTAAACTCATATGGATGGGAATTTAGGTTGTTTTCAATCCTCTGTTAACTATAAATACCCTGCAAAGAACATTTTATAACCTCTGTGGGTGTTGCCATAGGATTAATTTTTGGGACACTAATCATTGGGTTATAAATTATATGCATTTTGAGTGTTGGTGGTTTGTGCCAATTCATATTCCTACCACAGCATATAGAGTTTTCTTTGTGGTCTCAAAAGTACTCTGTTCACATAGAGATGGGGAAAAAAATTAAAAAGCCAAGGAAGGTAGTTTGGAAAGTCAGGGAGAGTAGAATAGAGCTGTGGTTGAGCATCATGGTAGAAGTCACATTAATGACATTGTGTTGCTCTTGTTTTTCATCAGCCATGATGTCATCTTGTTCCTATATTTGCATAATGTCTTGAATCAGAGAGCTTTACCCTGAAAGTCATCAAAATGGTGATGGTATCATAGAGGGAAGAATGTTTCCAGCTGTGGTGTACATTCACAAGGCTGTGTAGGATACCTTCCCAGAATAGTGTGAATATGTCAAGTATCACCTGTGTGTGTGTGTTGCACACACAGGAGTGCATTCGTGTTATTTACTCCTTACAATTTTCTGAGAAAGGA